TTTAACTACACACACACACACACACACACACACACACACACACACACACATATATATATATATATATATATATATATCGAGCAGTATGTCAAAGTGTACCGCTTGGTATACTCGTACCATACCGTACCGAGCTGAACTCGAAACTCCGGTACAGTACAAAATTACACACCTTGCTATGAGCAATATTTACTGGTTCAACAACCTATCAATACATGGACCAAGGTAAACTACATGATATGCTCAGTCCAGGACTTGTACCACCCAATATGCCAAATGCAGGTTATAAGGAAGGGCCTATACCATCTGGTACAGGACATGACAAGCCCTACACCAGGCAATTTCTTTTTTTTTCTGGTATTTTCAATACTTCTCTGAAACTCGAAACTCTCGATATTTTTCGTACCTGTCCAAACCCTGACCAATACAAAATTACAAACCTTGATGGGAAGAGAAACATATTCTAAGGATTGATAACTATACATACAATAAACAAACATTCTAGCTCCTAGATACAAGCAACAACTTGAATTTGAGAAGTACTCCTCACATACTTCCCATAAACCTCAAGGATTTCCATTATGATAATAAATTCAGAAATTGTCATGTTTCTCAGATACCTACATAGAGACTTCTGATTATGGACAAGATCAGTGACTGACAACAGGGCAGAAACGTGCATCAACATATAGAGCATCATATCATGATCAGTTAGATTTAGGATAGTCATCTTAGTTTCTTCATGCTATATTTCCTTTTTTTGGAGCATTTAGATGCTTCTGGATGAATTAGCTATATCATGCCCATTTAAATGTTATTGGCATACTTAACACAGTCAATAGTTATATACCTCTTAATTAATAACCAAGGCCATATGTAATCATAAAACCAGCTAAAATGCCGTTAGCTCCTGCCTTCAGAAATTCTGATCATTAAAAAAAAAATCATAAAATGCATACGATTGGAGAGCATTGGAGTAGGATTGTTAGATAGGATGGCATCATAATCCTACATGAGCACCTATCCATCATTCTATGCATACATGCTTGGCAGGCACAAGGCCTTTAAGTTCTCATATTCACAGCAGAAATTGCTAGTGAGCTCCCTAGATTACTTGCAGTTTTATGCATGGGCCTGAGATCCTTCAGTCCATTTTCCACTGTTTTCAAAAATAGTGACCTAGAAAGAAGTTTTAGACAGGAACAAGAAATTACTATCAAAAGAAGAATTTTCACATTGAGAAAGGATGCTCTTAGTGATAAATTTTTCTTTGTTTAAAAGATGTTACTCTTGAGTAGCTTTGCCATGTTAGGTCTACTCTAGTAAATAGAAAGAGGGCTACATCTGGAAACTACTTCGAAGGCTAGGATATATTAAAAAAAAAATCATAAAATCATATTGCTATTGATACATCTCAAACACCAGTTTTGTGTCAAACATATGCTTATTGTCATTCAAACTCTAGAAAGATTTTACATGTTATTAAATAGAGCAGGGAACAGATATCAGCAGCAGGGCACAGATATCAGCCCGGATTGAACAAGGTGGTCCAATAAGGACAAATTTAAGTATGACACTAAATGGTATAGATGCTCAACCATGAATACTTCAACCATGCATGGGTCACATGTTATACTACATGAGTTCGGAAAAACTCAACCATGGAAATGTAGCCAAACCCAAGCCAAACAAATTACAGTGTTTAAGTGTTTTTTGCCAATAACTATTGTTCTGTCTGAGAGATGAGATGCAGAAAACCAAGTCTTAGTTCAATTGGCATAAAAAGTGCTTGACAACCAAACCAACTGTTTGCTATGTTGAGCTTGACCAAGAACTAATCTGGCCCTTGAAACTAAATCTAACTGTTTCTCAACACCCTAAATTCCTCTCTGCTGCACATATGACCTGGTCCAGGCCACAATGACCTTGAATGAATGGTTACAAGACACTGAAGGAAGAAGGGCAGTCCAGAAAAGAGGCCGTAGTGGTAGGAACTTCCAAATATTTATATCCTTGTCCCTTTTTCCTTGTCAATATTTGTCCTGTGAACACCATTGTTATACTGTGTGTCAACCACCGAGCCCCATTGTGACAAGAACATCCTGCAAATGAATAATTCCCAACCATTTGCCATCAGCTACATGAAGACTTTCCTACCAGTATGTCAGATGATATCAGATTTGACTAACCTATCTACTGGTCTCCAATATTCTACCTGTAAAAATAAAGTAATTGGTCCTTGTCCTTAGCAGAAAAAGCCCATAAGCTAGGAGTTCCCTGAGGCGGCAGATAAAATTCCTTTATTCACAACTGAAGGACAGAGCATAAACCCCGATATCCAGTTCCACCACCCATGACATAGAGACAGTTTTTGGGGTACACAGGCGTTTCAAAGCTTAAGAACAAAAATGTTTTTTTATCTTTAGGAGAGCCAGGAGGAGGAAGGGCAGCTAATTTCATTTCACGACTGCCAGAGGAGACTCTCAAACCAAGAATTAGAATAGAGCTGTAAAGAGGAAAAGAGCAGCAAAGAAAAAGGGGTTTAACTACTGTGAGCTCCTTCAATAGCAATAACACCATTTTGGCATCAGCTAAATGTATAATTTATTAATGTTGAGGCCGTTCAAGAGCAATATCACCAGTTATTAGTGCTCATCAATTCTATTGTTTGTAACAAAACCCTCTATACTCTTCCTTTCCTATCCTACCACCACCAATATATTAACTTATACTTCACCCTCACATCTGTGGATGTCCAATAAATGATTTTTGCTCATGCCCATTACAATTCATTCATAGAAAGTTTTTCTTATTGTCAATTTAGGCTGGTAGAATTTGGTTATCAAAACAAGGCCCTTTGAACCAGTATAAGTGGAATGATATCAGAATTTATTTTTGCAGGCAGCTAGAGCCTATCCCAAGACAAATTCCAATGTTAGATTTAGACATGTCTTGTTAGATTTATTGTTCATCTTGTCCAAGATCTCTTCTAATTGCATTGCCTCCTCAGCATTGTGGAATCCAACAACTGCCATCACACTCATATAATGGAAGGCCTTAAAGGTGATGAAACAAATTGGAGAGAAGATACACAGGAAATTACTGCAGTGATTGACACAAACAACAACACTAGACACGCTGTGGTGTCATGGTAAGATTGCTCCCAAGGTTATGGATCTCTAATTTACTGACTGCATACTGCTGACCCATGTTGCCTGGTACTAACCAATAAAAAGTGTTATATCAATTGGTAAAATGTAGTTCGATCTGATCCTTTGTCAAACTGGTAAATACCAATTAATAACTGCTATTTACTGGTATTTGAAACTTTGTTGGTCCTTTGCAATCCAAGTTTCTAAGGTTCGAATAACAGAAATAGTCTTTCTACTTGCAAGGATAATCTTGCATACCTTGACACTCCCCAAACCATGCATTATCGAGTCTTGTCCACCAGGAAACCCTTCTTGGCTTCATATTGTTGCAAACCATGCAAGAACTAAAACAAAATAAGACTATCATACTAGAATTTATTTAGCTTTATTGTGACTTAAAATACTAGAATTGTGTAAGTTCCAGAAAAAAAACACTTTAATCTGCTATATTTTCTTTAGCATGACATTTTACCAATGAACTCAGAATATCCAAAAAAAAAGGAAAAGATGCTAACACACGGAACTGAATGCATATTACTACTTGTACATCTAAACCAATTATGAATAGCACTTACAAGACTGGAAAATTTGAATAAGCTAGGTATTTAACAAGATTTAATAGTTTTATGAAAGAATATTAAACGAACTAAATACTAGTGTAGTGTTACATACATACACATTTTGACGGTGAAAGGATGCCAGATAACTTTCACAGGTAGTTTTCAACTTCTGCCTGAACTCAACAGCTTTAGCTCCACAGAATGCTTCACCAGCTAAGATAAATATGTTGAGATCTTCATAGTTTCTCAAGAATTGGTAAGTGCTAGTTGAGCAAATAGCAGAGGAAGACAGCAAGACAGAGACACGACTTGATGTAAGTTGCCACACATTTCTTCTCCCTCTTTCTAATGTGTGTGCCACAAAAGCTGTGGCATCTTTTCTCAACTGATAGAAGGGAGAATTGCAGCCTGAAGTAGCACCATCAGCATCACTTGCTTCAGCTGATAATCCACAATAACTTTGGGGCATTGTTACTGGATCTTCAGTTATCTTATGTGGTACATCATATCCATCCACCTGGTTAGAAGTAACAGATGCACATTCACTATTCTCAATTGAGTCAATTGGAACACTGGTCACTGAATCAACTATGATTCCTTTCAAGTCATGAGATGTGTTACTTTGCCTCATGTCAATATTTCGATTCTGGGAATTTAAACGCTGGGAGAACAGGGGGAAACTTAACTATGATGGAATTGTAAAAGTAAAGCCTCAATATATTTTAAAATTTGATAATTAAACTTCAAGGCTGCATAGCAGTTTTCCAATAGGTAACTGGAACTAAAAGGCATATGAAAATAATACAAGAAAACAATTAACATTGTTACATTGGTGTAAGCAGAAAGAAACTAAAAGTTGATGTACAAGAGAGAAAATTGAAAAGTGAAATCATATGTACTCTTAAGCAATGACTGCTGTACCACCCGAAATGGTACGAAAAGGGCGGCATGTACCGATCCGGGCATGGGCCGGTACACGGATCACCCCAGTTTTAGGTGGCTCAGTCCAGTTCAGTAAAAGTAATAAAAAAATTGAAAAAAAAACAGTGGGGCCCATCCAACTCATCATTAAAATAAGAAAAGAACTTATAATAGAAATTCGGGCTCACAAACATGAGCCTTCTTCTTGCATTCTTCGCTGCTGCCATTGCCGCTGTCGCTGATTCGCTATTGCTTTGTCGCTGCCAACGTCATTGCTGCTGCGTTCCTTTTTCTTCCCAGGTACGCTCCCATCTCCTCTCCCCCTCTTCATCCTTCTTCCTTCTCCTCCTCCACAGCTTCTTTTCTTCCTTCTTTCTCCATCGCTTCCTCTTCTTCGTTCCTTCCTCCTTCCTTCACTACCGCTTCCTCTTCTCTCTTTTTTTCTTCCTCTCCAAGACATTGGTATATACTGGTATACCATGTGTCAGTGTATCGGTACTGACTGATACATACTGGGATCTCCGAAACAGGTCTAGTACCCGAAATGGCAATCCTTGCTCTTTAGATTCAGCAGAAAAACTGATGCATAAAGGCTTCAACTCTCAAGTATATAAAAAGAAATCATGTCTTATATTACTCTTAGATACTTAATGTATGACAGAATATTGAAAAGTGAAATCATACGTACTCAAACTTCAGTATAAACATAGCTGCATAGAAGTTTCAAATTCTGGTTATGTTTTACAGAATGAAAATGGTTTATCTTACTATTAAATACTTATAAAATTCAGATCACTAAAAGAATGTTTGTCATTTCTCAGAACGGAAAGAATACCAAAATGTAGGTATATACCATGTCATGCTGGTCAGCACATTCCTTGTGCCGGCCAGCGCAAGCCAAAAATGGCTTGGGTATTTCTCAACACAACAAGCATGGCAAACCATGCAGAATGGAATTGGATATCATGAACTCAGATTGAGCTGAATCATGGTAGTATCCATGTAACTAGTCTGATACAACTAGTAAACAACAAACTGTAATGTCCCAACCACGGCTTCGAACAGCAGTACTGCACATCCATCCTGAAGGACCAGTACTGCACACCTGGCCTCCCAGTACGAGACATATGGTCCAAAACTGATTAGTAATATTTTTTAATATTTTTCAGGTGATACCAGACAGGATTGGTCTGTATACTACCGGATATACAGATCAGTAGATTACCAAAGCTAGTATCTGACTGAGCTTTAAATCCTTGGTCGACTCTAAACTACTTTTGAGTCAGCTAAATGGATCTTTTTCCACCATTTTACTCAATTTAAGATAAAATCACCAGTCAAAGTGAGAGCAATCAAATTTCTTTTTGTTGTTTCAGTGAATTTTTCTTGGATCTTCCTCAAAGTTCATGTAACCAGCTTAAACAACTAATAACCAGGGGATCAATAGATTTCCCATGTACATGAACATACTACCTTAAATGGTTTCTCTTATTTTGTCTACTTTTAGAGTTAATATCTATTCATGAATTAATATCTCAATCTAGTGTTGACGGATGTGCCAACAGTTTATACAATTTTGGTTGGTACCACCTAGATACTGGAGAGAGGAGTGGGGGAGGGTACGGGAGCCTAAAGAAAAAGAGGAATGATAGAAAAATAAAAACAGCTAAGCCTGTGACAATCATCAAAAAATTGAAAAATATATCAGTACTAGATGGTAGGCTTATCATCCAGGGACGAGAAGGCAGATGAAGAGGAAGTGTGAGGAGGTGGCAGTGACAATGTGATGCCAAGTGTGTCCTAATTAGTTGTGGGACCAGTAAATATCAACATGTAACAATTTGTGCAGGTGGTTTAAGGGGGCAACAAACAATACAAAAGTATAAAACTATTATGCCCTATATTTTAACAATTTTTCAGTTTGCACAAACTATATATTGTGTTAATTGATCTCTCCTTCGGAGTAAATTATTCAAGATATGTAAAACACTTGTTTTACAAAATAGAAGGTGCTAACTAGGTGACCTAGGTGCTATTGACCATCTAGGCACTAGCCAATCATCCAAGTGGCCACCCAATGATAAAGGGTGCCTAGTTACTGCAATCAATGCATGTGGCATTAACAACAATAGCTACAATCAATGCCATTAAAAAACAGCATGGACTGCCTTTGCTATCGTAGCTAACACAATTGGAAGAGCACCATGAAGGTCATTGCTAGCTTTGGCAACTGTAATGAAGGCAACAATAGCTGTTGGCATCATAAGAAAATTATAAGAGAGAAGTTCGTGTAGGACAGGGAAAAAACTTCAGTTTAGGATGTCCAAGAAGCATCACCACTAATGTTTGACATATAACATGTCCTCAAATATGGAGGAATTAATTGGGGGTTACATGGTAATGAATTCTCGAGCATTTATGTGTGTTAGTCATACCATTAGAGTTTAATTCATTTACTTTGTTTAATCACCCATTTAAATGCACCGCATAGTCATTGTCTAGGCAGTTGAATGGCTGTCCAGTGCGAACTGTCTAAATTAGTAGTCATGGGGTAAACTAAGCAACCTCTAGGCTGTCTTAGTCTAGGTGTTGTCAAATAATTTCTCTAAAGTATTTCCTAAATCTTCTACTTCAAGCAACTTCTTATTGCTATTGTTCAAGGAGATAAAAATCACACTACTGAATGTTAATAATTAATAGAGTATGGTTACAAATGTGACACATCTGATTCCTTGATACACTATGAAGGTCATCTCATTGAAATAGAAAACTATAGCTTTTTTGGGTAGAAACCTGAAAATCTTTTAAAAACCAAATGCACAAGGTTTAAAGTAATTGCAGCAAAATAAGAACTTACTTTTCTTACCTTTTCTTCAGGCTGAAAGCTCATGATAGAGTAGTATGAACACATCAACCGAAATAAGACATCCAAAGTTCTCAACAAGCACTGACGAAATCGAGATTCAGGTATTTGGATGCAGAGGTCACTGTAAGTGAGTCTGGTAAAAGTAAACACAACTAGATTAGAGAAACAAAGAAAATTTTATGTGAATAGTACAACTTTTATGACATAATTAACATCAACAAGAAGGAAAAAAGCTTAGGGAACAGATGAATATTAAAATATACATTACTAAGGATTAAGGATGAGACATATAACAGTCAAATAATAAAACAATTAAATTCCATTTAAACAAAATTTTGCATCAATTACAAGTTAAAAGATGAAAATATATCATCAAAAAGAACATCCAACAAAGTTCTCCAACTTGAAGAATACAGGAAAACATAACTTGATTTAAAAGAACAAAAGAAAGTTTGCCTTAGAAAAGAACCGAAGCATCTGAACATAGATTGAGAAAATGTATAAATTTAAATTCTTAATGAAGAGAGTAAATGTGCAGTGTGACTGTACTGAAACTTCCAGAACTCAGATGTTGTTTCTTTACAGATATGTCTATCAACTTGCACAATACAGGTGAACAAGTTATTATTTGATAAGAATTTCAATTCTTTATTGCCCAAGAAAATTTGGTATAATATTTACTACCAGGCAATGCTTTAACAAGCTTTAAGATACTAAACAAAACAAGGCAAATCAGCATGTGAACTCACACAGACATGGTAGAAACTTTTTGCTGGTTGACAATCATGCATCAAGCTTCAAGCAAACGCTAGTCGTACATTCACTCAGATGCAGTGTCTATCCATCATAGAATTAGCTAGAATGGCATAAGTCATGAGATACCCTTACAATATCAATCTGAAAAGGGTTAGCCTAAGTGCAACGTTGCACAGGTCCCGAAGGACCTGCAAAAAGGTTGATTAGTTTCAAAGATGAGCAATGGACAAGTCTCGAATTCTCACTCAAAAACACAAAACTCAAGCAATTTAGCAAAGAATTGGAATGCTAGGAGGAAACAGACTTTGGAAGGGAAAAACACAATCACAAGCTCACAAACGATAGCTCAACCGGGTAATGGGGTATTCAGCAAGCTTACACACATTGTATACAAGCTTGTGAATCCAAATAGGGCCCATCACTATCCCAGAGACCCATCAAGCCTTGTGCCACCCAAGGGTTCTAGGAAATTGAGATGGTTGACATTTTGGCCCCACCGCTAGCTTGAAGAAATCAAACTGTGGCATGCGAAAAAGGGATTGTTTTGGCCCATTTCAACTCTATTCGATGGTTGTTGTGGAGTCTAGTAGATACTCTACACTTTAAAAAAAACCAAGGAAAAGCACACAAAGATTAGGCAAAACACAATGCCAAATAATTGCACAAGCAAACATAATTAAAGAGCAATCTATTTACGAAGGTGTTACGGGTGTGCGATTGCGGTCTATGACATTCTCCCCCACTTAATCTATCAACATCTTCGTTAATGCTTGCTTGTAGGCCTTGACAATTGCTTCTTCATGTCGTCAAGCATCTTCTAGCTCCTGAACAACTTATGTTCTAGGATGCTTTCACTACTTCACCAAGTACTCGATCTGCTTCGTTCCGTTGGGTAACTTTGTCTTGCGATCCACTAGAATGACTTCAACTCACTTCTCATATAATGATCGGGTGAGGATGGTCAAGTTGAGACATTTCTAGAAGCATCTTGTGAATATGACCGATAGGCTTTCAAGTTATTTGCATGAAATACATTGTGAATTTTAAGCCATGCCGAAAGCTATAATTTGTAAGAGACATTGCCTATCCAACTAATGATTGGGAAGGACCCTTTGTATTTGTGCACCATTCCCTTTGTCCACTTTTTGCCTAAAGAACTCGAGAGATGCTGCTTGGAGCTTCACAAGCACCAAGTCGTCAACCTTAAATTCCGATGATCGTCTTTCCAAATTTACCCACTTCTTCATCTTTTTAGTCGTCTTCTCCAATTATACCTGTGAAAAATCTATCATTCTTTTGCAAAGTGATATACTGACAAGCTACTTCCAGTATAATCGATCATCAAAGTGTGAGGAGTTGACGGTTGTTATCCAATAATCATCTCAAAGAAGCTATTGTTTCACATAGAGCTCCATTGTAAGTAATAAGAAAATTGGGCTATGTTTGAGAGCTTCACCCAATCCCGTTGGATGGCACTTACGTAGTGCCAAACGTATTGCTCCAAGAGCTAGTTTATTTATTTAGTTTGGCCATCCATTTAAGGGTGGAGACTTGTGAAGTATAACATTGATCCCAACAACTTAAACAGCTCGATCCAAAACCATCCCAAGAACCGGTCATCATGGTCACTTTTAATGTTGTGCGGAACTCTCTAATATTTCATCGCATTCTTCATCATCAATTTCACTGCCTCCTCCGCAGAGCAATGTAGCGGTGAGCAACAAATGTCACGTACTTCAAGAACCAATCAACTACCACCAACATCAACCCATGTCCCCCTACCATTGGCAAGCTCGATATGAAGCCCAAGAAAATGCTCTCCCATGACCACTGATACAGGCAAGGGCTCCAAAAAATCCATCAGCTTCTATTGCTCCACCTTGTTTTGCAGTGAGGCACGTGCGAACATTTTCCTCCACATCGATCCCCATTGTGGCCAATATAAGGACTTATCCACAAGAGCTAAAATTTAATGTATACTCGGGTGTCTCACCTAAAGGGAACCGTGATACTCATGAGTTCACGCCTTAAATCATCCACTCATGGAACATATATTCTATTCCTTTTGGTATAAATGAGTCCTTCTCCGATCCAAAGTCGTTATGTCTGACCTTCTTTGATCAATTGCATTAGGATTATTGCTTGGGGATCCATTCCTGATCCTGAAAAGAAAGTGACCTTCGCCCTCACTTGACCTTCGCCCTCCAATTGCACTGTATTCACTAACTCCACCCTTCTTGTTGAAGGCATCGACTGTGACATTTGCTCGTTCAGGCTTGTACTCCATTACCATGTCAAATACAATTAGGAAGTCCTATCGTCATGCTTACTTTGGAGAGAGATTCTTCTGAACCTAAAAGTAACTCAACACGATATTGTTTGTCCTTGGCACAAATGGCGTGAAGTGCCTCTACACTCGTAAACAGTGAACCACTATTGTGGTCTCCTTCTCGTACATAGGATACTTCCACTCTATCTCACTAACCTTACGGCTCTTATAGGCCACCGGGTGAACTTCTTGCATAAGAACTCCTCCAATAACGAAGTTCGAAGCATATATGTGGACTTTGAAAGGTTTCCCATAATATAGTAACCTGAGCACCAGTTCTTCTAACACAACTTTTAGGTCTTCGAATGTTGCTTCATATTTTTCTAACCATCGCCAAGGATGCTCCTCCAGCAACTTCGTCAATGGAGTTACGTGCTTCGAATACCCCGGGATAAAGCGCCAATAATAATTGACGAAACGAAGGATCTCAATTCAAACACCTTCTTTGGTGTTCGCCACTCTATCACAGCTTGGACCTTTGACTTGTCCATTCAAATCGATCCTCCACCAACTCGGTGCCCTAAGAACTACCATGCAAGGTATATAATTTCGAATAATACCGTCCGGTACGGGCGGTACGTACCGGTCCGTCAGCTGACTAGTACACGGATCGCCCGTTACCGGACGGAACGATATAT